GCACACTCTTCCCTAAGATAATGGTACCTTGTAGCACTTCTTGGCAGCTCGTCAGCCAGCTTCTTCGGTGACACCTTCTACCCTGATGTACAACTCGCTCTTTATTTAAAAGGCTAGTGCAAAGCTGTTTTCTTAGACTAATACATTTTTAATTTGAATGATTTGAGTGAATTGATGAGACACTGAGTAGTCTGAGTATGGGACTGCTTTCCTGCCATCTTATGGTCCATGCTTTAACTGCTCAGTGTGTCCAGCTGGCCCCATGTTACCAATGAGTTCTGTGGGTGAGTCGGAACAGTTAGGCACAGATTTGTAACTAGAATCAGTCAGTCAAATGTTTGTCTTAGTATATGCTGTATAGAGTACATTTCCATTCGTGAAAAGCAAAACAAAAACAACTGACACACTACCAGATTAAAACATCTTTAACGTAATAGTATGGTGATAATATCATAGGTTGGATGCATGCTGTAAAATAGTCCCTGTTAGTTATTAGGAATCATCGTATGCACCTAAATTTTAATCTAATATGCTTTAAGGGGGTTGGTTCCATCTATGGATTGTATGCACATTGTACATTTAAACCAGGGCCTGCTGTACTATAAAACTTTTCTAAACTCTCCTGAACTAGCCCTAACCTCAAGATCGTAAAATGAATTTAAAATTTTGAATTAATTCACAGTAACAATAATGAATCCAGGCTTCAAAATTCTATCACACTCTCCTTTCCTAGCTGTTTGCAAAATAGCAGCCATTATTTGAACATCTATTGTGTGTCAAGCTGTGTAGTAGATGCTTAATACTAATAAAGAGAAAGCAACAAACCCCGAATCTCCCGGAATATATCTTAATGATGAGGAAGCTGAGGCTCAAAGAGGATTAAAGTGCTTTTTCATGATCACAGCTAGGAAAATAGCACAATTTGGATTTGAACCCAGACTTTTCCATTTTCAAGGTCACTGGTTCTTCCTTCTGTAGAGCACTTGCCCTGCACATTTTTAGATAAACATGTACACATTTTAATAATTCCTTTTAGACCAAGTTTTATAAGCCTGTTTAAATGCTAGGCTGTATTTATTTTAGATAGTTTTCTTATTTTGGGATTAAAAAAAGATAAATAGAATTTCTGTATTGTTGCTGTATATTTAATTTATACAGTTGATTATTTAGTATGCTAGCTATAACAGCCCTTCATCCTCCCAGTTAATTTCTCTGGGGACATTGCTTCATGCCAAGCGTTTCTTTATTAAATATTCAGCCGTTTTTCTTTTAAATGGTTCTGTTTTGTTAGCCACACTGTTGCCCAACAAAATCCTCTCTCTTGCCCCAAATGTAAAGTCTGCCTGTGCAGCAGCAGTAGCAGCAGCAGCAGCAGCAGCTCTGCATTGTTTCTGTTGCAGGTGTGAGCTGAAGGGGACAGGCATTCCCTCTGCTCAGCGAGTACACTAAGCTGTGATCTGCCCTTGTTGTATTATTGATGGCACCATGTTTTTATATTGCAGATGGCTGAGAGCTAGCAAGGAAAATTCAAGACCATGATGGCTCAATTTCCCACAGCTTTGAATGGTAAGTAGCTTTGTACTTATGATAAGATAAAGAGATCTTAGGTGGTTGTTGTCCGCCCCCCCCCCCCATACCCTGGGGAGTGGTAGACGTTATAAAATATGTGTGTATATACATATACATAAGTATATTATGTATATATATTTGCATAAGTTTATAAACATAAAACTTACATACTTTGTTGATAATATTCAGTAGTTTATTTCAGACCTTGCACTAGCTTCTATTAGAGCGATACTCCGCAGTAAATCTCAGGGCTTCTTATAAGCATATCTGCAGTGTTGTCTGGAATGCGTGCTAGTTTTGGAACAGTCAGGAGTAACCTAACTCTGTATTTTGTATAAAATGTGTGAAACAGAGGCCAGAGACCAAGAGTACTCTACGGTGATTGTAAATTGATGAAGCCAATGAGGATTCAATTAGTAATACAAGGGGGCTTTAAAAAATGTGTGGGGAAATTCCATTGCCTTTTAATTACACTTTGTCAATTTTTTGAATCTCCCTCTTACATATAAACATAATTTTTTTCTGATTGAAAAGCAATCAAATTGCCTACAAACATAGCTCAAAAGTGAAATATTTTAAAAGAAAATATTAGCTATTTTCAACTTTAAAAGGTTTTGAAAGCTTTTGATCCCAGCTTTGAATCCTTTTCTTTGTGCAAGTTAACTGCCCTTGATCAATATTAAAATACTGAGTCTATATCTAGAATTAGAACACGCATTATACTTTTGAATTTCTGAGGAAACCTAAGATGTGCTACATGTTTAATTTTGTGGTAAATCTCAGTAGCCACAGTTGTATTAGGAAGTAAGACAATTCATTCTTTGACATTTGAAAGCTCTAATATTAAAGAACATTGTGTAAAAATGAAAATTCAGCCACTCTCATCAACCAATTGTGTTTGCTTCACATGAAGTATTTGATCAATTGCATGTTTTTGTTCATTAAAAAACATGTTATTTTTGACTTAGGACCAACTCTATGCATTGTTAATGAAGAAAATGCATGTTGTATATAAAACTTTGTATGACTCAGGATTGTATTTGAGAGATTTAAGAAACTTTTGTAACAGTGAATTAATGACATCAAAAGTAAAATTAAATCCTAATATGTGGTAGAATTCTGTCATTTCAAGGATGGACCTGGAGCAAGAGTTTTATTGTTTTGTATTTTGCCTTCTCAGACTCTTACTGCAAGATTAATGCGAACATTGTTTCTGTTGTGGTAGTGGTGTGTGGTGTGAATCTTAAAGATGATCTTTTTTCTCATAATAAATGGGAAAATAATAAATACATAGTTTAGAATCAGAGTAATGATTTTTGTAGTAGTAATGTGTTCTTCCCTTATTGGAGAATTTTTATATTCCATGCATAGGAATTTGCAGTAAATGCATAGTTATAAAATTCAACCAGCACGTAGAACAGGTTTTTCAACAAAATGTACATAAAAGCAAACACTACAAGCCAACTCTTCATTTTTAGTTCAATTCCTTAAGTATTGAACTGAAGAATTGACTTTGCCACGCATTGTATTATATATAGAAGATTGGAAGCAAGAGAATGTTCAATAACAAAGAATTATTACATCAATAATTGTCAAAAATGTTGGGAAATTAATTTTGAAGTAATACTTAGGAATAGCAGAAATATATTTTCAAATTCCTATCGAATCGATAGCAAATGTATGCTGTGGTACCCTCATACTTAACTAGTTTATAAAATAGCCAAAAATAGAAGGTAGTCTTTTCTTTAAGAAGATAATCTTAAATTTATTTAATTTACATTAAATTCTAGGTTTTAAGGTTTTACTATCAACATCATCTTGGACAACATAAAATCTTCCAAAACACTGTTTTCTCTGTTAGGCAATCCTTAGTTACAGATTACATTTTTTAAATTAAAAGATCATTTTTTATTGGGGGCTTTTAAACTCTAACAATCCATACATCAATTATATCAGGCATATTTGTACATCTGTTGCCATCATTCTTTTCTAGACATTTACTTTCTATTGAGCCCCTGGTATCAACTCCTTTCCCCCCTCCCCATGACCGTTTGATCAGTTATTATTATTTTCATGTCTTACACCGACTGCTGTCTCCCTTCCCCCATGGTTTCTGTTGTTGGTCCCTCTGGAGGGTGTGTGTGGTTATGTGTCCATCATTATGCTCAGATCCCCCTTCTCTCCCTCCTTTCCTCACCTTCCCCTACCCTTCTGGTATTGCTATTCCCATTGCTGTTCTCTGAATCCGTGTGTTGTGAGCTCTCATCGCTCATCTGTCCCTGTGCACATGCTCCGGTCTAGCCCATAGTGATAGTGGAGTTATGATAGTGGGGTGTGTGTGATGTTTTGTTTCTTTTTACATTACAGTTTTTGGTGCCCAGTGCTACTGAAACTTCTCTGAAAATGCCTTAGACCAGCAGTTCTCAACCTGTGGGTCGTGACCACTCTGGGGGTGGAACAACCCTTTCCCAGGGTTGTTCATAACAGTACGCCTGATTGATAACAGTAGAAAATTTACAGTTATGGAGTAGCAACGAAAATAATTTTATGATTGGGGGATCACCACAACATGAAGAGCTGTATTAAAGGGTCGCGTCATCAGGAAGCTGAGAACCACTGCCTTAGACAAAAGCTGCTTTTCTTCTTTTTTTTTAATTGTTTTATTAGGGGCTCATACAGCTCTTATCACAATCCATACATACATCAATTGTGTAAAGCACATTTGTACATTCATTGTCCTCATCATTCTCAAAACATTTG